GCTTCATCTCACAAATGAAAAAATACTGGGAAGAGGAAGGGTTGGAATTTCAATTCCTATTAATAATAGACAATTCACCTGGCCGTTGTGAATGTGTTGGCTATGAAAATGGAAAATATTGGGGTTGTATTTTTACCTCCAACTACAACCTCATACTTCAGGCTCTTAACTGGGGTGTTATTTGGTTTGTCAAGGCCACATAGACCTCCATGATATTTGATCACATTTGATACAGACTCTCACCTGGACATCCTGCAGTTGTGGAAATCACCCACTATTGCTGGCACAATTACATTCATCAACGCTACAATGGGTGAATCAGAATCAGAAACCGTACATGCCTCCCTCGCGGCAGGGGCGGGGGGGATGTCTTACAGAAGGAATGATTTTTTGAGATCTATGGGGAAGTGAGGAAGAAAAGTCATTTCCACAGCAAGACGAGTTGACAAAGGACTTGTCAGCCTGCTTGATAAAATGGAGGAACACACTGAAGGCCATTAACAAGTGTTGACAAATGAGGAATTGGAGAATCTGTTGGGTTATCCATCAAGGAAGAGGAGGATGAAGAAGAAACTGAAGCAGGGCCAGTCCTGGGGACTTTACTGCAGTTGGCTGATGGATTCTGAACTGTATGGCCATTTAAGGGGCAAAGCTAGAGAGCCCGATCCTCGGATGGCGGATCAGACTCACCCAATGATGACCCAAGGATGGCCGCCTCTGCTGCACCCCTGTGGTGAGCTACAAGGAGACAGCACAGGCAGTGTTCTCCAAGATATTTCAGCAAAGAACCCTTCAGTTAACCAAGGATCGCCAGCTGGTCTTTGACATCATATGGCCCAGTGATCCAGGATCACCTGAAGCAGGTGGTCCTCCATCCACGTGTCCCCTGAGGGCCAGTGGTAGCCCAACACGCCACTCACCTGACTCCAGTTCATCCAGCCTCGACTCACGAGAAGAAAAGGGTGGGTACCACGCGAGAAGGTATTTTTCGAGAAAGACCACATTTGCTTAGCTTTGTATAGTGTATTGCTATAATTGTTCTGTTTCATCAGTCGTTATTATTGTTAATCTCTTTTTCCCCCTAATTTATGAATTGAACTTTACTCTAGTATGTATGCATGGGAAAATCATGGATTATATAGGGTTGATACACTCTGCCGCCTTAGGAATCTACTGGGTGTCTTGGAATGTGTCCCCTACAGTCAAGGGTGGTCTGCTATTTACACAGCTTACTAAATAAAGTGAATGAAACAAGCAGGCCTCACCTCCCTTATCACCCGTAACTGTTGCCCAGTTAGAGTATAATTGTTGTGACTATTTCTCTGACATATGTTTAGAGCCATATCAGGGAGTGTTATAATTTTTGCTTCAACTATCACATGTAATTTAGAAATTCAATAGGAGAAGGAAAGCCAATTATATTCACTAACTTTTTTTTCCCCTGGGTTCTTTCAAGAGTTTTTCTTTGTCTTTTGTTTACAAAAGCTTAATTATTACATGACTTGAAACGAATTCCTTTGGTGTGGGGGTTGCTCATATTCCTTAATGTGCAGGTTTATGTCTCTTGCCAAATTCCAGAAGAGCCAGTCATTATTTCTTTGGGTACTTCCTGGGCCCCACCTTCTTTCTCCTCTCCAACGTCGTTGATAAGAATATTATATCTTTAGTTCCGGTCCCACAGGTCCTTGGGATGCTGTTCTATATTTATTTTTATTTTTTTGGTAGACTTATTTTCTCACTGTTGTTCAGATTGGGTGATTTCTATGGTTCTACCTTCTGGCTTACTGTTTGGCCCTTTCCTGAGCTTTTTATTTTGGTGATTGTATTTTTTTTTTTTTTTTTTTTGGCACTGGGGATTGAACTCAGGGCCACTTGATCACTGAGCCACATCCTCAGCCCTATTTTATAATTTATTTAGAGACAGGGTCTCACTGAGTTGCTTAGTGCCTCGCTTTTGCTGAGGCTGGCTTTGAACTCGAGATCCTCTTGCCTCAGCCTCCTGAGCCGCTGGGATTAAAGGCGTGCACCACGTCCCTGGCTGGTGATTGTATTTTGAATTCTACAATTTCAATTTGATTCTTCTTCATCTTGTTGCCTTCTTTGCTGAGACGTTCTCCATTTTCATTTGCTTCCTATGTGTTTGCCATTGCTCATTAAAGCATGCTTAGCATGGCTGTTTTAAGACCGTTGTCAGGTCATTCTAACATCACTTTCAGTGTGGGCATCTGTTGATTTTTTTTTCATTCGGCTTTCGATCTTCCTGGTTGTTGGAGTGATGAGTGATATTTTGAGTGGGAGTCAATTGAAACTTGAGCACCTTCATATTTTGTTCTGAGACTCACTATTACATTTGAGCTTTCTGTTTTTGTTGCTTTGTTGGTACCATGGTGGTAGGAAAAGGGAGAGACCACTTAATTGTGTGAAGGTGGGAGTAGGAGTCCAGATTCTTCACTGTCCTCTGTTGGTAACTGATACCCAAGAGGGCTACTCCTCGTTCCTGACAGGTGACATGGAGTTCCAGCTCTGCTGACTGCAGCATGGTGACCTTGTTACTGCTGGGAGATGGTGAGAGTCCAGACTGTCCACTAGGCATCCACCATCACTGCCCAGTGAGAGGGAGAGAGAGTCCCTGTGACTGAACAGGGGTTCTGGAAGTCCAGGCTCCCAGGTTAGTGTCTAGTGACCTCATCCTGGGGGTGGTGTGGACTTATTACTGGCCAGTGAGGTTGAAAGTCCAGGTCTTTACTTGACCTTCTCCAATATCACTTCACTCTAGTCTCTCAAGGGGAGAAAGCAAGGGTCCCCTGGGGCTGGGGATGGAGGAGTGGCACCACAGGTGTTCCCCCCCCCCCGTGGCCTTTGGTAGGAGAAAAGTGGTTATTGTGTAAAATTTTTCTGTCTTGATAAGTTGGTCCTTTCCTGGTCTGTTGTCTGGAGAGAGAGGAACTTCTGTTGAGGTCTCTTTCGGTCTGTGCCTGTTGATGTTTCTGTGTTGTTGGTTTGTTCAGCTCCAAGTTGGGATATAAGGGGGTAAAGAAAATCTAGAGCCGGGCCTAGGTGTCTGTTAATAAGTGAATGGACCAAGAAATGTGGCATATATCCACAATGGAGTTTTATTTAGCCCTAAGGAAGAACAAAAATATGTGATTTGCAGGAAAATGGAAGGAACTGGAGACTGTTTAAAAAAATGTGGAAACTAGAGAAAAAAGGTGGTGTGGGGAGAAGGTGGACCTCATGGAAATAGAAGGGAGACTATGGGAGTCTCGGAAGTAGGCCAGGGAGAAGGAGAATAGGGCGAGGAGTGGTACTGGGGGATGGAATTGATCAAATTAAGTTATGTACATGTTTAAACATGCCACCACGAAACCACTGTTCTGTAGAACTGTTATGTGTGATTTTTATTTTCAATCCAGAGAACTCTTTTGTCCCTGGATTTTGATGTTTCTAACCAGTCTGCCTTCTTCTCTCTACCTTTCGGTATATTCTTGTCTTTCTTTTAAATACAGTTTCCCAAGATTGTTAGTTGTATTTAGTGGGAAGAATAACTAGGACTGCCATCTTCCTAAGAATACTGAATGTAAATATTTTAAATAGAAATTTTGTATGAAGTTCAAATTCAGTTTAATTCTTTTGAAGATTTAATCACATATTTTAAGCACTTTTATAAAAATAAAACTGCTTTATGAATAGTCTTAGTGTTCAATACTTTTCCAGCTACCAATAAAAATATAGGTATCGTGTTTCACTCATTCCTACAAGTTACGGTGGCATGATTCTTTCATATTGCAAAATGTTCCTCAGCTGCTCCCTACATCTGTTGCACAGACTACGACAATTTGTGAATATTTCTGGGAACTCAAACTAGAATATAAAGAGAAGGAAGAAAATAGACACCTGGCACTTTCTAGGAAGCAGAAGTTCAGCGTCCAGGAAGTGTGGTAGCACGTGGAAAGGAAGGGTCGGACCTGTTGATCCTCTTTTCTCTTACACCTGTGAGCGGTCCAGCTTCTACCCAGGACAACACCCACCAAGCCTCAGGGCATTCTGATGGCAGCTGCCTTCTGTTTCAAGAGCATGGATGAGAGGTGTGGAGTGTCTCTCTGGGGCCCAAAGGGTGGATATTTGAAGTCCACACTGAGCACCAGACCTCAAATGACAAACGTGTCCACAGGCCCTTCAAGAGGTGCAAGTGTGTTCACGATGTGAGAGATGACCTTCTAGCCCCTGGGTCCAGGGCAGGGACCCTCTTGGCTGGATCCTAAAGATGGTACTCTTTTCCATTGGCAAGTTACTCACCATGTTTTAAGGGCCTTCTTTCTTATCTGTCTTCTTGTAATCTGGCGTAAGACCATTAACAATGCAAATGGACCATTGACATTCAACTGAGAATTAATGTGAGGTAAACACAGATCAGGAGATGGGAAGAGTTCTTTCTTTATAATTTAGGGTACATTTCTAATGGCAGCGCCTCACCAGACCTCTGCATGGAGACACTGTGTGGGCAGAGAGGAGTGTTTCTCCCTCTGAATTATTGGGGAAAGTGCTGAATTTTTTTTTATGGTCAATTTCATTTTTCTAACAAGAGTCAAATGCTTGATATGATAATTAAAAATACATCAAGTCTTCCACAGCAGCAGTTGTGTGTTTGGTTAGATGACGGGATAATTGCCAACCCTTATCTTCAATTTTCAGACTTAAATCTCTTTCCCATTTAGTTTTAATTGGCTCTGGGCTTCCATCCATCCTTAACTTCGGGTTCATTTGTCGCAATTGTTTTATGTGAGCTAAGTCCTTCTCCAATGGATACAATAAATCTATGTATCTGATTCATCTTGCTTTTATGGTTAATATTTTAAAATTATAAAGCCAGAGTCTCAGCTTCAGAATTACTTTGTCGATGCCTGTGTAAAGGCATTAGCTCTTAGGCATTAGCTTATTGAATCACATTTTTAAAAACGGTGTCTCTATCAAAAAAGCAACAACAACAAAAAGATGTTGATTTTATTTTTGCTGCTCTTAACTCCTGTAGATTTTTCACAACTCCCAGAGCAGATATTCTTGAAAATTTAGATCTTTCCACAATGATTTCTCCAATTGCCAATTAAACAGTGATGGGCTGCCTGGCCACCGTGGGCTGTGATGTCCATACAGGGCTCAGCATGGTCCTGTGCAGTGACCTGACAGGGTTAAAACCTTTTCAGGGGCAGGGGATTGGAGAGGGCTGAAAATATTTTTTTGGATCTATGTGCCCTCACCTCAGCAGGAGCACAGAGATGCACACACAGAGAGCTTGTGGTTGTGCCTAGCTCCCGGGGGCTTCCATGACCCCATGCTAAACCTTCTTGGTTAGACCGCTTGGTGGCAGGGGCACTTGTAGGAGTTACTTGGGAGTAACATCTGGGACTACTTATAAGATGCAGGGGTCCCGAGGCTGTTTAGAGGGGTAGATTGAGGTAAGGAAATTCATCCTATTGGTGCTTTTTCTTTTTCTTTTTGTTTTTGGTACCAGGGATTGAACTCAGGGACACTCAACCACTGAGCCACATCCCCAGCCCTATTTTGTATTTTATTTAGAGGCAGGATCTCATTGAGCTGCTAAGCACCTCATCATTGCTGAGGCTGGCTTTGAACTCGAGATCCTTGACAGGTGTAACTGGTGGCTTACAGCCCAAAGGACCACAGCACGCAGAATGGCATGGGTCAGGGAATGAGTGAGGAAGGGACAATGAGAGACTTTCTCTGCTTTCTAATGAACTAGAAGACAGAGCAACGTGGGTGACAGGAGGGAGAAGGCCCACCATTTAGAGCAGCTGTCTTTGACAGCTGGGTTCCCAAAGGAGCCAAAGGATTTTCATTCCTTTGCACACCTAGATGGGCCTCAGATGTGCCCATAGGGGACGGGGCATCATGCTGTGAGGGAGGATTCCTGGGGAGAGGGAGACAGGAGCCCTGTGTTGCACGCGGAGGCTCAGCCAGTGAGAAATCCCTGGAGAACATTCAAGAGACGGAACAGCTAGTGCTGGGCGCCAGGTCTCTTGCCTGTGGGGAGAGAATGTAACCCGTCTCTCGTGACCTACAAACCATCAATAAAAATTCTGCTAACGTGCAATGCTTGTAAAATGATTGCTTTGGGGCTGGAGGAGAGAGCTGGGTGAAGAAGGTGCAGAATTATGGAGAGCAGAGAATAAGAATTCAGCGAGGGCAGGAAATTGGAGCCAGAGGTGAGAAGAAAATATAGGTTCTCTTGCAATTTTCAGAAGTCTCAAGGCAGGCATTAGGTTTTTTTTCTAGGACATAAAAAGGGGATTTGAGCCAAACAGATGTATATTTGAAGAAGCAGAGTGAACCCCACCGCCCTTGGGTGACGTTTGTCGGGAGCAGTTACCTTTCCCAGCCCTTTCCTTCTCTCTTCCCTGTTCCTGGTCCTTTGTCTCTGGGCTCCCTGGCCCTTGGTCTTCTTGCAGGTGGCAGGTGCTGGCCCTCTTTGGTCTTGCTGCCCGAGGAAGGGGTGCCTGCGGGCAGTGCCAGTGCACCTTAAAACAGGGAGGAGGAGGGTCATGTGGTTCAGAGAGTCCAATAAACACTTGGTGGGGTCTCCTCACTTAAAAAGCCTTTGTAAAGTTTCACTTTTGCAAAGTTCCTATTTAGCCCTGTGGAGGCCCCGGGTGGGAGGCCCCGGGGCCCGGAGGTTCGGTTCCGCTTTTCTTCTTGTAGAGAAGGTCCTGTCAGCAGGGTGGGTGGAGGGACGGAGAAGAGGGGCGCAGGAGCCCTGGTTCCGACTGCTGATCACAACAATGTCCTGTGTACTTCTAAAAGCTCCCAGAGAGGGGTGTGGGTGCCCTTCCCATGGGAAGGTGAGGGCGTCTGAGAAGATGGTGTTGCACCTGTCTGAACGGTTCACAAGGCCCACATGTATTCACACACCACACGGCACCCTGGTAATATGTGGGATTCTTATGTATCAGTTAAAAATAAATCAAAAATATTCTTTAAAAAGGGGGAGTATTCTGTTCTGAGCCAGCCTGTGCCCGCATCACTCTCAGGAATGTGGGGCAGGGAGGAGGGGACAGGGAGCCGCCATCAGGGTTGGCCCTGGGGCAAAGTTAGAATCTTCTTGGGACACAGAAGGAGTGGCCGCCTCCCTTGGTTAGGCCTCACTCACGTTGCTGCTCTCAGTGGACACGGTGGGCGGGGCAGGGAGGGTGCTGGGTGGGGAGGGCCTGGTAGGGGCCACAGAAGTGGAGTCAGTGCAGGGCCCGAGGGTAAGTCGGTCACACCGACCTGCACCCCAGCTCTTCCCCGAGGAACAGGCTGACAGGCTCCTGGGCACCTGCCCGTCTCCCTGCAGGACACTCCCTTGAGTGGTGATCACACCAAGTCTCCTATTTCATCAGGTGACTCTCAGGGCTGTAGGGGGCATGGAAGTGTGGGAGGGAAACGCCGTCCTGTGCGGAGGCCTCACCTGGACACGCCTGCCCGGCCAGGAGCTGTGTGCATTTCACCTGCGGTGACTCACCCGGCAGGCATTTACTGGGTGCTGGTGATATCCAGGCTGTGAGGGCAGAGATGGAATGTACGGGTCCTGCGGTGTAGAGCCTGCTGACAGACAGATGACAAGTCCTGGCAATGTTTACGAGACCCTGAGGGATGTGGCCCCTGGTGCCTACTCTCCTCATCCTCAGCTCTGTTCTGAGCATCCTTAGGTGGCCTCAGACACTCTGGCCACCTTGCTGTTCCTGGAACACTGAGGCACACTCTCACCTCGGGGCCTTTGCACTCGCTGTTCCCTTTGCCCAAATTCTTCTCCTCCTTCACCTCTTTCAATTTATACTCAGAGGTCACCTTCTTCTAATTGTCTGTTAAAATTGCAACTGGCCCTCTTCCCCATACTCCTGATCTTTGCTTGTTGTGTATCATCTTTCTAAAGCATTCATCTTCTACCACAGCCTATGAATGACTCTGTTATGTTTTATTATTTACTATCTGCCATCACCTCCCAGAACACAACCTCCAGGAGAGCAGGAGTCTGGAGCTGGAATCGTGACTGTCGAGGGAATGGACAGGCCACCACAGGGCTTTGGAGAGTCACCTGCCCTTTCTGTCTCCACCCGCGTCTCCAGGGCTGTCCCTGAGCTGAGCTCTCCCGCCCGTCACTTGAATCCCACCCTTGGCTCTGCACCGGAGAGACTCTGTGAGTCCCCTGAGTGGGCTTGGTCACCCGAGGACCTTCCTTCCTGGTGCTGCAGGAAGACAGTGCAGCCAAGTGGAAGAGGGGACAGCAGTCCCTGCCAGGAAATGTTGTCAGGAACTTGATTATCACAGCTTTGAAACAACTTAGCAAAGGAAGCTCCTGAAGGAAGCCTTTGTCTTTTGTTTAATGATCCAGCTCTGCGGCCGCCTCCCTCCTGCTCCGCCCCTCCTTCCCTGGCTGTCCACCGTGGTCGCCAGCCTTGCTGTCCAGCGTGGGGCTCTGAGCCCCTCTGCGTGTCTTAGGAATCCTGCCCCTTTCTATGGGGGTTTCTGAAGGTCCCGGTGTAGCGGGGCACAGATTCCACTTGTCACCTGGACCTCCTCTATCAGGCTGGACCCCACCTCATTGTCCTGCCACCTCGAGTCCAGAGAACTGCTTCCCCGGAGCTGGATTTGGTCTAGTTCCCCAAACGAGACCTCAGCCTGGACTTCTCTCCCCTCCAACAGCTAATTCAGGGCGACAGGTACTTGATGTGTTTTGCTTAGGACCTAATGCAGCCAGGAGAGGGTCGTAGCCCAGAACAGGGAGCCGAGTGCTACAGGCCAGCTGCGTGCTCCGAAGTCCACTGCCTGGCATGCGGGGGACAGTCCCTGGCTGGTCCCTCTCTCTCAGCGCCCGCCTGCTGGGTCACACTTCTCTGCAGGAGCATCCCCTCGGAGTGTCCCTTCCCTTGAATTCAAGCCCCAACCCCAACTCTGAAGTCAGCCACGTGGTTCCCTGGCCTTTTGGCCATTATCCCCAGGAGTCCACTATCCTGTGGCTTCTGACACTTCTGCCTGCTAGACCTTCCCCTGGATCCTCACGCCCTGGACTCTCCTGTCACCCAGGTCTCAGTGCCTCCAGGGAGACGCTCCGTGAGCTGAGCTCCCCATCTGCATAGCTCCCCCTTCCCCCTCCCCCAGCGTCCGTCCTCTGGTCTCCTTCTTGTTCCTGTCACCATCCAGCAGGACCTTGTTCATTGCTCTGTTTATGACGGTGGTTTCCATGTGGCCAAGCCTCTCCCCGGCCTCCCAGGCGTGACAGCCTCTGTCTGTCCCACGTAAAATGAATGAATGTGAGTTTCATGCAAAAAGGGACCTTGTCTCTCTATGGACCTACAGCTCCGGGGCCTCCAGGGTTTCGACCTGGCACAGAAGTGCTCAGTAAATATTTGCTGAGTGAATGGACGGCTCAGATTCCACCCAAAGAGCCTCGTTTTCCATATATATATATATTTTTTTGTAGAGAAACCAGGATCCGTGTTCCAAGTATCACCTCCCAACGTGGCGACTTATTTAAAAGTCTGGGTTGGTCAAATGAATCACGTGTCCACAGCGTTGTCCAGTTTGGGGTCACGGCCCTCAGCTCATGGCAGGCCCAGTGCTGGTGTCCTGGAGAAGGACGGGGAGAGGAGGGGACCGTGGGGGAGAGGCAGGTGCGGGGAGATTCCTTTTCTCAGTGCTCAGAGTCCCTCAAAGGGTAGAAACCCCTGCTCCCCCTTTCCTTGATCATGTGGGGGGCGTTGCCAGGAGTTTGGGAGGGGACAGGGCACCTAGAGGGCAGATGCCCACTCTCCAGGTGACTGGGGCTCGCGGTCCCCATCCGAGGTGCAGATCTCAGAGGTCAGGATCTGGGGATCGTGTGGCAGACACAAGGCTGCAGGGCCTCGCCCAGTATTCTGGGCGGCCTGAGCATTGCCAGTGCCCTTGGTGCCACCGCAGAGGAGAGGCTGCGGTGACTCTGGGTTAGACTTCCCACAGGACCGGAGGGAGCGGCTCTCAGAGTCGGATTATAACAGAAGAAAATGAAGTTAGGATGCATTCCTTACCGGGCGCAGGTAGTGGACTCATCCTGGCTCCGATTACTTCTATTATGTAACATTTCATGTTTGTGGAGGTGGGGAAGACAGCTGGGAAGGGCGTTGGGAGAAGGCGGAATCCGGACCTCACATCAAGTCTCCAGGTCCTGGGGTCCCACTTGGCTCCTGGGGCCCTTCCCAGCTCACCCCAGGCAGCGTCCCCCAGATGTGTCTCCTGGTGCGAGTTCGTCCTTGTTCCCTGGGAATCTGCAGCCACAGCACTTGCCACCTGTGAGGGCGACTGTCAGGTCTCTGTGGCCAGGTCAGGGACGACCAGTGCCAGGTTCACAGCCTCCCTTGGCTGTGTCCTCTGCACTTCCGGCCTGTGGAGGGGACTCCTAGGCTCTGCAGGCTCCGTCCTTTTTTGGAAGTGAACAAAACCCTTCTTGACCCTTTTCAGGTTCTCAACATCCTTCTTCCCTGTCTTCTCCCTCTGCTCCCCTCCCTAGAGCATTCTCCTCCCTGAGGAGGAAGAAAACAGCTGGCTCAAGCTGGCAGACAAGAGGAGACTTTGGTGCAGAGAATTTTTCCATGAGTGGGAGGCAGAAGCCTGAGGTAGGATTCCTGTAGCCACGTGGGGAGCAGCTTCTCACTGGCAGCTGCAGATGCACCGGCCATCTCACTTGCTCTTCCTCCTCCTGGCCTCACCTGTAGAAGTTGTGACTGCCTATGAGGGAAGCCTGGAATGTTCCCTTTCTTCCCAGGGGAGATAAGTACACAGAAATACAGGGTAGAAACAAAGCTCCCGACAGTCTCTGAGGATTGGGAGGATACAAAATATCTGCTTAAGGAAAGGAGGAAAACTGTTCGTGGGCTGGTTGTTGCTGGGGCCTCCCTCTGTATGCCTCCGCTCTCATCCCACTGCCTCTGCTAGGATGAGCAAAGGAGGGAGGGAGGGAAGGAAAGAGGGAGAGAAAGGTGGACAGACAGAGACGGAGGGACAGAGGGGAGGAGGGGAGGGGCTCTGGTCAGTTTGGGAGTGGGCTGGCTGGGAGCGCATGTGAAATTGGAGGCCCTCTTAGCTGAGAGCCCCCAGTGACTGCCCTGGCCGTGCGGGTCACTATTTTCAATCCACAGCAGGGATTCCACATTTCTGGGCACCCCTGGAAACCATCCAGCGAGCTCAGCAGGGTCTGGGGGCCCTGGAGGCTCCTCACCCCATGGGAGCAGGAGGTCAGCAGGGCAAACCAGCCTGGAAACAGGCCTCAGACCTTGGGCATGGAGCAGTGGCCATCGTGCCCAGGCCTGGCCCCCAGCCCAGGAGACAGAGGAGCCTCCCACTCCTTGTGAGCTCCCAGACGGCAGACGGAGCGTCTCGGCTTCAGCCACCACAGGGCTGGGTGGCAGGTCCCCTCACACGTGTGGACACCCACTGCCTGGGGGTGATCTGGGGGTGATGGCGGAGGCTGATCCCAACAGCCCTCCCAGGAGATGGCTCTGAGGCCTCCTGGAGACCCCTGGCCGGAGCCCGGTGGGTGGGCTTCTCGGGTCCCACGTCAGCGGGATGACGGAGCCACAGGACTGCAGCCGGCATTTGCGTGCTGGGCACAGGACAGAAAGGCCACACATTCTTCTTTCCACTGCCGACACGGGGCTGGGACCCAGGGGCCTGCCAAGCCCTTTCTGTTTTTTTGTTTTGAGACAGAATCTCAGTAAGTGGCCCAGGCGGGCCTCAAACTTGTGATTCTGAGGCTCCGAGTTGCTGGATCCCAGGGGTAGCCACCACACCCGACTCCTCTTGTTTTTAGCTCTTCGTAACCTCCCACGAGGTGGAAGCGAGTGCAGTGACCCTCCTCTGGGCCAAGAGGGATTGCGTTTGGCAACATCAAGGCCACGTTGGCTCCATCTCCCAGGGTCTTACTTTTCCAAGGCTCACTGCGTGTTCTTCCTGAGACCGGTGTATTTCAGACGCTGTGAAGTCGCGATGCGGGCAAGGCCTGGGGCCTCTTCCCGGCTCACAGTTCTGAGCAGTAAACAAAGCAGTAAAGAGAGAGAGAAAAATATTACCTTTATTATTGCTAGAGGCTAAGTTAGAAGATGCAACTTACAATGGAAAACAAATGGTCTTATTAGCCGAGCCCAGAGTTGAGTACTTGCCTCTTCTGATGCAACACAGATGCTCGCTTTTCCAGATAAGACTAAAAGGCAGAAGGGAACAAGAGGAGGAAGAAGGGACTGGGTGACTCTATCTGGTTCTTCTATCTAACTCACCAACCAAGTGAGTGAGGGCTACATTGGTCAGCTTTTCATACTATAACCAAATGCCTGAGGCAGGTCAACTTATAAAAAAGAGTTTTATTCAGCTCACATTTTTAGAGGCCAACAACCCAAATGGCATCATGGAGACTCTGGAAAGGGCTCCCCCTTAGCTGCATCATTTCATGGTGGATGGCAATGATGGGACAGGAAGTCAGAAACTTGGGTGCCACCACCCTGTCTGAGGGTCTTCCCTCAATGGACCTAGTCCTCCCACTGTGCCCTCTTAGAGGTCTGCCACCCAAACAGTGACATGCTGAGGCCCAAGCCTCTAACAATGGGCTCTTGGGGACAAACCAAGTCCAAACCATAGCAGGGTTGGGGAAGATGAAGGGTGTCCCACTAAAGGATGTCCCTCCAAGTGAAAGAAACACCAGAGATTGTGTTCCTACACGAGCTACCATGCTGCAGCACCCCCGGGGACAGGCCTTGACACTCGCAGGAGTGCTGTAGGTTTTTGGCTTGCCGAGGACCACAGGACGAGGGCAACAGGACCAAGGGGACACACAGGACATATGCAGTTGTCCCCGCTTCTCTGCGGGTTTTCTTTCCCTGGTTTCAGTCGCCCACCCACAGTCTACCACAGCCTGAAGGTATTAAATAGGAGGTCCCAGGGATAAAGAAGCCACACATTTAAATGACTCTTATTGTAATGTGTTGTTATAATCGTTCTATTGTTTAACCAATTATTGTTAATTTCTTATTGTGACTAATCATGAATTACACCTTATCGTGGGTGTGTATGTGTGTGAGAAAGCGTGGTATAGGCTGGGTTCAGTACTAGTCTCAGTTTCCACTGGACATCCACTGGGGGCCTTGATATCTGTGCCCCGCAGATAAGGGGCAACTACTGTGCAGCCCACCACGAAGTGAGGCTAAGGGGTCACACTTGTCAGAACCTCCATAATGCCATTTGGATTGTCAGCCTCCAAACCCATTAGCTAAATAAGCCTCTTTTCTCTATAAGTTAACATGTCTAGGTATTTGTTATGATGATGAAAAAATGTGTGTGTGTGTGAGTGTGGAGAGAGAGAGAGAGAGAGAGAGAGAGAGAGAGAGAGAGAGAGAAGGAAGGAGGGAGGGAGACATAAATATAAGTATATTCTCTGAGCAAAATTAAATTATAAAGATTTATATCAGGATATCAATCCTTGGATCAATTAATGCTCCACAGTTATCTGGAAGCTGTGGACCATTCTCCCAGCCATGATGCTTTTGTATTGAAAACAAGATAAATGAGTTGCTTCTTGATTCAGTGAGCAACAGTGTCTGGTGCGCGCAGCGTTCCACGTTGTGGAGGACACACAGGGGAAGGACATGTGACATTTGTTTCCTGGGAGCTCAAGGTTGAGGTTGACGGTGGCAAAGGCTAATGGGATGAGTGCATTCAGGAGGATGCACGCAAAGTGCTTCCGGCGTGGAGTCTGAAGAGGGCTCCATTCTAGTTCCTTTTCAAGGTTCAGCTTAAAGGCCATGAAAGTGAATAGAATTTTGACAATCAGATATTAAGAAAAAGAATGTTCCAGGCTGTGTGTTGTCTTTGAGGAATGTTGATAAGTCTGGCTTGTTAGAGTGGGGGGGGGGAGAGAGAGAGAGAGAGAAAGCGAGCACATATGCAGAGTGGGTAGGGCTGGCTGTAGGGCTTTCTGAGTGCTGGAAGGAAGGAAGAAAAAATAATTTAGAAAGAGAACGCAACAGGGAAGGACAGATTATGGCTCCCTTGGGAGGGGCACTGCATGTCACATGAAGGAATGAAGACTGTGCACAGAACGTGGTGCGGCTGATTGTTTTCCAGGAAGGGGAAACAACGTGATTTCTGAAAGTCATTTCAATAATGCACGAAGAATGGACAGAAAGGTGGTCAGAGGCGGGTGCAGGAGTCTTGGGACAAGCTGGATGAAGACTGCAAAGGGGGTGCAAGTGGTTGAGAGAGACTCGTGTGAGAGGCAGAGCCTGGTGTGGGCTGAAGCGGGCATTCTGGCTGGAGTGGGAGGAAGCCCATCTGTATTTTAATACTTGGCATCTTCCACTTGTATCAGAAGCACTTCTGCCTCTGGATCCCCTCTGGACTGGAGATTTGTTGAAGGCAAAGAGTCATAGCTCTCCTCTGCAGGGTGGGTCAGTCCTGGGACAGGGTGTGGTGGGCAGCCTTCAGCTTCTGCCACGTGAGCCCATCCCAAGGGGACAGGCGTGGCGCGCAGGCCCTGTAGAGAGGGTCTCTGCTGTTGTGTGGTTGCTGCCTGAAGCTGAAGTGAAACCCTCTGCACAGTTCGCGTGAGGGCCTCGGTGGGAAATCCCCCGGTGTCCCTGGGTGGCCGCCTCATCAGTGCCACCTGAAGTGTAGAGGGAGCCCAGATCAGGACAGGGCTGGGGAGGGTCCTTTCTGTCACTCGCCCTGTTCTGGGGTGGGGAAGCTCACTTCAGCTGAAAGGACACCTGTCCAGTTCCTGCTGAGGGCCTGCGGGTTTGGCTGCTCACTGGCCTAGGGCTCACCCCCTGTGGCCATCCTGGGGGCCACAAAATATATGGAATTCATTGCTGGTTATTAGGTTCCTGGTACGTGGCAGGGTGAGGGGTATAGGCTAAATATTCTTTTCTTTAATGTTTAATCTACCATTTCTTTGTTGAAAAGGCAGAGCAGAATACTTGAAAATTCATACAATTAAAAGGACAAATAAAAACAATCACTGTCCTACCAGTAAAGGTCACCGGTGCCAGAGTCTCAAGACCATGAGGCCATATGCCCTCTCCACATGTGTAAGGTAAACATGCTACTTATCATATGAATGTCACGCCACATACCAGACCGTGTACACGGCCACCACCAAAGATATGCTGCTTCTCCTTTCATCAGTGAATCACGAGGGTCCCCGTCTGTCTGTGCTGGCAGGAAGTCCAGGATCCCACCTGAGGCCCTTACCTTAACAGTAGGGGTCACTCAGTCCAAGGGAGCTGACTTGCTCTCGAACACAGGGGGGGACAAGTAGGGTCTGATGGGTCCGGCGCCGCTTGTTCTTGTGGCTGCCACATGGTGTCACTGTTGAGGGCCCCTCGCCCTCCCGCCGTGACTTCTAGGTGTGTCACTGCCACTGAGGAGCGCAGGGCTGGGCTCCAGGGCTCCCGCTGTCTTCCTCCACCGTCTCACCCTGCAGCATCGTTCCCAGGGCGTGAACTGAGTCCTGGAGGCTGCACGGCCAGGCTCTGGCTGCCTTACCACACCCTGTCCCAGAACTGACCCCTGCCAACCTCAGCCCCAGTGAGGACCCTGTGCCCCTGGCAGGGTGTCCTTTTGCCCTTTCTATTTTGGGGGACTTTGGAATATATTCCTGGCCACAAATTCTGGTCAGGGATGCTCCCGTTTTCCTAATTTTAAATCTGGAAAAACCACGTAGGAGTCTCAGTTACTTCCTTCCTGGAAGGTCCTGGTTCCGTGCTCAGTGGACTGTGGTTCCTCTTCCCTAGAAGCCAGCTCTGCATATCAGGTACCAGGCTTCAAAAAGCTTAATTACATTGCTCCTCAAGGACAGGTCAGAAATCTAAGAGGTCCTCCCAAATGGTGACAAGGACAACACCTCAGAGACCACATGACTGGCCGAGAAGTTCCCTGATCCGTCCTCCCAGGCAGAGAGGTTGCGGCGGCCGTGGGCATTGCCTCATGGAGATATCTTTTGACAGGTAAAACCCTTGCACCCTCGCCCAGCGCTGTCCCAGTGCTTCGGGCCTCACTGGACTTGACAGTGTTGGAAGCCAGACGTCGACTCCCAGGGCACTGAGGAAGTCCCCAGCTCAGCTTTTAAACTGATAAGTTTAAAAAGTCCCAGAGCTGAAGACTTTATCTGAATAATAATTCTATGTATGCAATAAAGGGATTTTACTTTCAAAATACATGCCATGCCTTATCGCTTCTCCACCCGGCTCCGGCCACTATCTGTCCCCTCTGGACAATTGCAACAGCCTTCCTAACTCTGCCTAACTCTTCCTAACTCTTCCTAGCTCTGCTCCCACACCTTCCTTTGATGGCGCCTTCCGCGGCCTTCTGACAGCAGGCTGGAACGCAGTCTGTGGCCCTCCACCAGGTGGCCCCTGTAAATCTCTGCTACCTCACCTTCCCCGTGTCACTCTGGCCACACTGCCCCTCCTGGCCTTCCTTAAGTAGCCATGCCCGTCTCTTCCCCAGGACCTTTACACGCGTTCTCCCTCTTCCTCCAGGTCTCCACATGGTCCACCTCCTCAGTTCACTCAAGTCTTTGTTCAAAAGTCACTTTTTTAGAGGGGACTTTAGAAATAGACGCTGCCGTCTCCCTCCCCATCCTGCTCTGTCCCTGGAGAGCACTTCAGTTTTCTTCATAATTCCTTCTATTTTCCCCCTTATACTTTGTTGAACGTTCTTTCCATGTTGTCTGTCTTCCTGCCATTGCACTTGAAGTTCCTTGGAGCGGGGCCACGTCTGCCCTTGCCGTGGTGGAACCACTGGGCCTTCGGCAGTGCCAGGCCCAGCAGATGCTTCGTGAATGAGTAAATGAATGCACGAGGCTGCTTCTCAAATTTGTGGAGAGGGAAGCGAGAGATCAAGTGGCTTGCTTTGCCGTGATTCTTCCTATTACAAGGTATTTCTTGGCTGCCTTCTGAGGTTTCTAGTGGTGTTTGTGCAGAGGACAGAAAGCACGCACACATACGTGCAAACACGTGTGGAGGCCTAAGGAGAAGGGGCCATGTTTGACTTTCAGTGGGAGGGGGAGAGGGGAGAGGGCAACTCAGGAGGAAGATGGAAAGAGGAGGTAAGAAATGGAACAGCAGGAATTGGGGGAATATTTGAGCCCACCTAGACCCACTGGGAAAGCACCCGATTTCTCCAGCTTAGTGTGCCAGGCAGGGCTCAGACTACTCTAGTGGGTGAGGCTGGCCCCAGGGGACTGGCAGAGGCAGGGACATTCTGCATCTGCACATAAAGAGATTGGCTCTCCGCTGACTGACCTTAAATAGTGACTTCTGCTATTGCCTTCAGAGTTCCCTTAACTTGCCAAGGCAAACAAAGCTCCACTTGGTGACAGGCATGCAGACCCGGGTTTGAGTAAGGCCTGAAGTGAAGACCATAAGCCTTACTCAGGGTACCACATTTCCTGCTAGTGCTAGGCACACGCTAAATCTTTAATCAGAGTATTCAAACCAAATGAAAGACAGGTGTCAACTTGCAGCCAAGTTAAATGGTGACACACCTGAGGTCCCTCAAGGTAAGGCAGGGGCATTTTTAGGGATGGCTGGAGCTTGCTCACGGGCACTATCATTATTTTGGGGTCAAATCTCCAGGGATTAGCAGGCAGTAAAGTCCTCCTCTGTTCCAGTTCTTTTAAAGTCTTGTTTATATGCTAATTGTACTCCACCCTGAGCTGGGATTCTATCATCTCTCAAGTAAACAGTGACCATAATGAGAAAAGAAACCAGAAATGCAAATGTAGACGTGTGGGTGAGCAGGAGCCAGCTTAGCGGAACAGAAATTCCTGCTCAGAGTCACATTGTCTCATATCTAAACTCACACCTTTATTTTTTATTTACTCTGGCATAAGAAGCTTTCCTTGCATTAGTAATGATACTGTTAATGTTTTATCAAGTGTGGAAGTCATGGTCACATTGAAATCCTCCCTCGGTAGATGGAGGACTTATTGAAGCACATACTAAGCTTGAGCCAGGCGATTCTCTGGGGGTTGTTAGTGACCCAAGGCCCTCCTTCTATGGTCAACACACACTCCTCGGTGTCCCCAAAGAGGCTTCAGAAGACCACAACCCTCTCTTTAAGCCAAGACCTGCCTCTCTCTCGGCCTCATCCTCCCTGCGGTCCTCATCCTTGGAGGCAGACCTTCCAACTCTCGCAGCACCTGTCTGGAGAAGAGCTTCTCCCGACCCCCGCTCTGCTCCGGATCGGCACTCTCGGTCTTCAGGGAGAAGCTCTTCCCTTCTAAGTCATTCCACCTACTTACATCATGTCTTTTTCTTTTCCTCTTGGTTACTGACATCTGCCTATTTCTTGGTTAATTTCCTTCTTTCATTGATGATTTTGGGATCCTTAATGTCAGCCATTACCCTCGCTCATTCAGACAAATTCTACGAAATTTTGATATTTTTCAGACAGTCGATCCAACAACCCTGTCTCCCGACTCCTGGGTATTGATCCTTCAAAGCTGTCATTTTTCCCCTCTTTGTCCACCTCTGCTTTGGTGGCTCCTCCTGCGTCCTGCCTTGTGATCACAGTGTCCCACCCGTCCTCATGTTATTTCTCTCGTTCTACTTTGGCCTCAGACATTTTCTGACTCTTGGTCTCTCCATTTCCTCACATTTTATCCGCACCTTTGTGAGTCCTGTTTTTCTCTGCGTCGTCTGGACCCCAGGAGTTCTATAGAGACCCAAACCACTCCTTCACAAGCATCTTTGGTTCTTCTCTGCGTCAGGCAGAGCGTGTGGTGAAACCCTGAGCTAGACTCAGTGGTGCGAGTCTTCTTTCTCTTCTCTGTTCCTGCACCCGAGTAGGAGACTATCACGGGGAAATAAACGTGGTCACGAGGGTTGGCGTGTGAGAATTTTATGGCCTCGCCTCTAGCTGGTCCCCTGCTATTTCTCCCAACCTTCCGTCTTGGTTGGCTCTTCCTTTAATGACTTTCACTTCATATCCACGTCCTCAAACCTCATACCCAACCTCCAATCCTTCACTCTCAATGGACAATCAAGAAAATCAAAAAAAGCATAATTTCTACCCCTTAATATTAACTTCCACACATTTACCCCACTGTGGCAAACACTTTTGGTTGCTTACCCTCCTGCTCTTCCTTGAAACAGAACTCTAGTTGGGGTGTCTGGAGGCCATGCTCTTCAGGGAAGCCAGTGGCTACCCTAGTGGTGTACCACAGTTAGCCCAGCTCGCTCGTGCCCCTTAGTTGCCCACTCGTGACTGCCCCATTTCCTTGTGAGCTCCTGGCTTAGGCTGTGGAGAGTTTCTGGTATTGGATTTGGCTTAGTTGAGGAACTCCAGGAAAGGTTTTTCTCCTTGACAACATGGAGCCCACAGAAGAGCTCTTTATGGCTGGTTTGGATGCTGTTCTCTGTGTCGACTGGAGTTACTGCAGTGCTCTTGTGACTGTGATGGCAGTAGACGATGTGTTGAGGATGGCAGTGCAGAAATTGTGGGAAGAGCCCAGGTCCTAGGTGACATTGGTAAGCCATGGAATTAGCCAGCCCTACTGTGTCCTTCCCCCTCTTGGACTTCCCGACTTGTAAGATGGTGTGTCCTTATTGTTGGGGCTTCTTTGGGCTTGCATTTTATGTTGCTCGTAAGCAAAAGCCTTTCAGATGTGACATTTGAAGGGTAACTGTTGCAACCCTTGTTCAGACTCTGAGATATTTCCCTCTTTGCAAGGTTAATTCCTTCACCCATCTTAATTCTGTTGCTTTTCACCTCTTCTGGGCTTTATTACATCATCTACCCCTCTTTTCTCCTATCTCTTCTACCCTTTCTTTATATATTTTAATGCCTTTATTTTATTTATTTATATTTAATGTAGTGCTGAGGATCGAACCCAGCGCCTCGCACGTGCTAGGTGATCTCTACCACTGAGCCCCAGCCCCAGCCCCTACCTTTTCTTCTCTAAGTCTCCTACTTACTCAAGTTTCTCCAGTGTTAAATTTAAGTTCCCTTGAGTTTGCATCTTCTTCCTGTTCTCAGTGAACCTCTCTCATCTCTATCATGCTAACTCTTGAGGGGTGCTCATTTTTTTTCACTCCTACTTCTTCTTGTTTCTTTTCAACTCACTCAATTTGGCTTCTGATTCCCCGATTCCATTAAAATGGGCAAGTTGGAGTCACCAGTGCTTTCTGAAACACCATATCTGATAAGGTGTTTAAGATCTTGTATCATTTAAGATCTTGTATCATCCGCTTTTGATGCCAGTGATTGCATATGTTTAGTAGTTTAGCTTTCACGCCGCAACCACATTCTCCTGGTTGTCCTTATCTTTAGAATGATTTTATAGGTTTCCTGTGATGGACACCCGCTGCCTTCTTGTATCTTACGTTTTGCTGTTCCCCACGGTCACACCCTTGGCTCAGTTCTACCCGTTATCCATCTGTATATTCCTTCTGAGTCAGTGCATCCACTTTTATGGTTTAAATCGTCCCCACCTTGCTAATTTTTGCTGGATAGTCAGATTCTTTGGTTGAATGACTTGCTAAAAATTTGCATCAGGCTGCCACTCAGCCCCCTCAACCTTACATGGCTGAGCTGAACACATTGTCTCCCCTACCAAACCCCCTCCCTTCTGTCTTCTTCAGCTGGGCTTGGCCCATCATTTATGAATCACTGAAGTGAGACACTCGAGGGCCATCCTGAATGCCCTTCTTCCCTCCCCTCTCCTCATGTAATCTACCACCAACGTGGGCTGTTTTGCCTCCATGAACCTCAGTCCCACTGTCACCTCTTCTTTAGTTCCCACAGCCACTCCTCGGTTTGGGTCCCCGTCACCTCTCTCTTAACCACCATGATGATGTCCGCGCCATTCTCTCCACCTCTGTTCTGTGTCTTCTCCAACTCACCCTCCACTAACTAGAGGAAGGCTGCTGGGTAAGAAGAAAGAGGAGAGGAGAAACCTCCAAGGGAAGTACCTCCTGGAGCGAGGGGCCTGAGAGGCGAAGCCGTGTCATGGGTTCTCCCTGGGGGAGGCATCTTTTCCAGGTTTGAGATTCTCTCTCTGTGGCTGCCACTCTCCCCTCACCACCCACCTCCCAGAGCCCCCAGCACTCAGCTTGGACCCTCTATCCAGTGCTGGGCATAGTGAAAAGTTCACAGCAAGGTGAGTCCTGGCCGACTGTGGGGTACCTGGATTCAGGTGCATTTCCTGTGTCCTGTCCCTCCTTGCAACACAGAGAGAGAAAGAGGAGACTTTCATCAGTGTCTGAGCAGCAGAATTTCAGGTTAGGGTGAGTGAAGGTTCCTGGTAGGCGGACTTCTTGCTTACCAAAGTCTCCAGGCCATATTACAGAGTAATTACCTACTTGACCTAGTAATCCAACTAGCGAAACACTTGTCTTTGAGCAGTAAGTTTTAAGAATCTTGACACTCGGTATATTCTTTAGCTGCTTTCCATAGGGAAGACTTCTCAAAGTAAACTGAGGCAGAGGGAGCGAGTGATTTCTAGGCTGTTTCTGGGGCTAGGAAATAGTTTTAAACTGGGAAAGACTGTGTCAGGACAAGGGCGTAAGGGACACTTGCTAATAAGTGGTGGGCTGTATTCTTCCTCTTAACACTTGCTGCAGAAACATGAGTCATGACCACATCTTTCCTGATCAGGGCCTCGGAGTCACCCATAAAAATTCTCATGTGGCCTTGTCAGATGGCCTTGAGTGTGACCATGAGCTGTCCAAATCCTCCCTCTACTTTAGGACACTGAAATGGAAAATCCCAAGAAGCACTGCAGTGGATTCCAGGGCTCTTAGGTTAGGTTTCTTTAGCTGTTTGGTACAAGATAAAGAAGTAGAGAAAATGTTATATGGGTGGAGGTCTCATGGGTGGAGGTGATGGGGAGAGGGCCACACACACTGCAGACATGGGGAACTGTGTGCTCAGGATGGGGGCCTGAGGGGATGGAATGAGAGGTCTCAGGGAGTATTTTACCTTTTCTCCCTCCTTTCTTTGCTCCCATCTGCTCAAGAGGCACCAGAAATCCGAAAGGTTGCAATATGGCAGTATATTTTATCTAAGAAAACATTTTTCTGCTTTTGATCTTAAGAAGTTATGACCCTGCAAATTGGTTAATTTTGTAAAAATGTTCAAAATAAGGATGGATCATAGATTATAACTCTCCATATCCCTCACTTAGGAGGTCCACAGTTAAAAAATCAATTATCAATTCATTTTATAAAGCAACCATAATTTTAATCTCAAGATTTTAGCCAAGAACTAAAGTAAAACAAAAGACTGTTTTCATTTATAAATTCAGATATAGGAATTCTAAATAAAATAACAAAGAGACTAGTTGATAATTGGTTGAGGGTGTACTGAGGGAGGAGGAGAAGGGAATGGAGGAGGAGAATGGAAAGATACAAAGGCAACTCTTTTCATGTCATTACCTGGGGGCCACTGGTTTTAATTAAATCAAGAAACCACAGAGAAGAAAAATATGTGCAGAAAAATATGACGCTGTGTTATAAGAACAATAGGTGGTAGTTGGTAAAAGAAGTGGATTTGAAACCTTGCCTTCCTTTCTTCCAGCACCGACTACCTTATATGGCAATGAAATCTGCATAGCCAGCTAAGGATAAAAGTGAATCAATTTGAGAGGTAAT